CCACGTCACCACCGAGTCTCCTGCGTGAGCCCACTCGACGCACTGCCACGTCACCACCGAGTCTCCTGCGCGTGCTCATCATTGTCAGCGTGCCATATTCTCACACACACAAATCCTCTGTTTCAAAAGCCAGCTCTTCACCCTGACCAGAACCTTGTTTATCCAGACCCTTCACAGTCCCCAGTCTAACTCTTGAAGCCACCACATGGCAGCTCTCTTACGTTCTGTACTCTGTCCTCTCTTAGGATGGCGTTTTGACTCTTCTCCCCCTCGGTCTGGGTGCTTCACGATTCTGACTGAGTGGCCCTCTGGAAAGCCCTCTGGCCTCCAAGTCAGAATTATTTGCTCCATGGGGGTGATCACACTTAGTAATTGCATTGAAGTTATACATTCATTAAACTTTCTCTTCGAAAGTTACTAGCTTATTGAATAATATGGGTACAACACAGGTCTCTTAAACTTATTTTGAAAAGAACATAGAGAAGGGATTCCAAACGTTATTTCTACCAGTACAGGTGAGACTGTGACTCATTACATGGCTGTGGCCTCTCTCCTGTGACACGTGAACACTCCTGGACTCTAGTCACCATTCTTTGCTTTCTTAACGTCCAGCATCAGGAGGACGCTGCAGCTGAAGCACAGAATGAAGAGAATGCTTGCCCTAGAACATGTTGGGCAAAATGATCACAGATATCATCACAAATGATTAAGAGCCAGAAATGCTCAGGCTGCCCCAAGCTAATACCATGAAAACAAAAGCATATCGTGCTAAGCGTGCCTCAGTTTGCCTTGTTGTGGTTACCAGCATGAACCAACAGACCCAGAATTCAAAATTTTGAAATTTATTTATTTTTATTAACATTCAAAACTTTCCTAAATTAGTCCAACCTAGTGAGCTTTTCTTTTCTTTTTTGAGACAGGGTCTTGTACAGAGAACTGGCCTCAAGCTCTTCATCCTCATGTCTCAATGTTGAAGGTCCTAGGATTCCAAATGTGTCAACATGCCTAGCTCCAATCTAGAGAACGAATGAGGTCTCTGAATATGAATGGCCTCATGAACAGAAGAGAGAATAATCCCCTAATTACATAATACAAATTCACATTTGTAGTTCCTAAGACATTCGTGGAATAGAGCCTAGAAACTCACAAGTAATATTCTCAGAGAAAATAGCTTTCATACTCATGAAACCTAGTCATTAACTGTTGTGAAATTCTTGGGGAAAAACCAGGGATGCTAGTGAGACGAACACGGGACACATGACAGCAGCATACTAGTTAGGTGCACTCAGCTGCAAAAGATGTTGAGAGCAAAATTATACTCAAACCAAAGGCTTCCAATCACCGACAATATGTGCAATCCTGATACCCTTACCCAGCTCCCCCAGTTCTTTTCTAGAGCAGACCTGGGAATGAGTCATTTCCATAACAGCTGGCCCATATCACATTTAATTCTTTTAGAAGGTAAGGAAAAGATTAGGTCAGTCTCCAAAACTAAAACTCAAGAAAAACAAAACAACAAAAAATCTCCACTAAAACCAACCCACCAACCCACCTACCCACAAACCACCCTATCTACCTACCACAATGGGGGCTGGTGACGCAGCTCGGTGGATCAAGGCACCTGCCACCAAGCTGACAACCCAAGTTTCATCCCTGAAGTCCACACAGTGAGAAGAAGAGAACATTTACTCCCACAAGTGTCATGTCCTCAGACCTACACATGCACACCACCCACACCCCAAAACAAATGCATGCAAAATAAATCAACCTAAAAAGTTTTTTTTTAAAAAAAATCACAATAAAAATGTTTTAAAAGAAAAGTTCTAATATGTGCATACAATTATGTTGAATTTATATGCACCATTCGCCATTGCATTTTATGTTTTCCTAATACCATTTCCATTATGATCGTGTAAATGAAACAGTTCCATTAAAAAAAAAATGGAAACAGTTGATGAAAGTCAACACTTAAAGAGAAGGAAAGAAAAATCAAGGAGATAGCCCAGAGGTATTGCTAGTGTGAGCACTTGGGATTTGATGGCAGCAGGGAAGACACGAAATCACTGCATTCTGCTTCCAGGACCTCCACCTTCCAAGAAGGTACAAGGAAGTCAAGCCCTTAGCAGCTGCAGTCTCTAAGACAGTGGTGCACAACCTTCCCAAAGCTGAAATGTTTTAATACTGGTTATCTTCCTCATGCTGTGGTGACCCAGCCATAAAATTATTTCATTGCTACTTCATAACTGTAATTTTGCTACTGTTATGAATCACAATGTAAATATCTGATAGGCAGGACATTTGCTATGTAACCCCGTGATAGGGTTGGTTGACCCCCATAGGTTAAGAACCATTGCTCTAAGGTGAAGCAGCTATGGCTTTGTGGCTTTATTATTACTTGTGAGATAGGACTTCAGAAAATCCTTACTCAAGTAGGGTACTATTTTGTATTTTAACTTCTACTTTCCAAAACAGAACCACTGGGCAGTGCTCACATGACTTAAAGGAGATCTGAGAGAGAGAGAGCATCCAAGAATGGTTCTAGGGCTAAGGGGAAGGTGAGGAGAAGTCAGTCGAACAGTCTAAGAGTCAGTTTGGGAGACTGGCCATGTTTCTCTTCATGCTGAATTACCTGGTTTAAATATTTTAATATTAATTAGAGAGTGCCTTATTTTCTAACTTCCTTTGAGGATGTATGGAACCCACTTAACATTTCCAATGGGGGACTGATTTTGTTTCCCTTCAGATTGTTTCTGGTTTTGTGGGAATATTTTTGAATGATCTTTCAAAATGATCAAATAATAGTCTCTGTTGTAAAAATAAAGACCAGTTAAAATCCCAGAGGAGGCTGCTTAGCAGGCTGGTACCTCCTTTGATACTCGCAAAGCCTGGATATCGCTGTGATTATTCATACACACAACTTCGATTCTGGCACACTCAGCTACAGTGTGAGCACATCCTGAGTGCTATTCATTAATGTAATTGTGGGACACCAAGCAATCCACTTCAGGGTACGCCATGATTTAATGCATTATTTCTTTTTGAGGGACATTTAGAAGGGGTCTAGGTTTTCATTTATAATAATGCTTTAATCTTAGTTAGGATTATTATTGGTATGATGAAGCACCATGGCCAAGGCAACTTGGGAAGGACTGGGTTTATTTCAGCTTGCACTTTCAGGTGTCAGTCCATTACCCAAGGAAGCTAAGGCAGAAATTCACACAGGGCAGGAACCTGGAGGCAGGAGCTGATATAGAAGCCATGGAGGGGTGTCAGTTACTGGCTTGCCTACGGTTTGTCTGGCCTGATTTCTTATAGGATCCAGGACCATTAGCCCAGGGATGGCTACATCCATAATGAACTGGGCCTCCCACATCAATCATTAATGAAGAAGATGCTCCACAGGCTTGCCTTCAGCTAGATCTTATGGAGGCATTTTCTCAACTGAAGCTCCCTCCTCTCTGATGACTCTATCTTGTGTCAAGTTGACATTAAACTGGCCATGAGCCTTTTCTGAATTTCCAGTATTAGTTTAGCAGTATGCTTGAAGGCAGAAATCCCAGGACAAAGGACATTGAGATGTCTTGTCTTTTTAAAGATTCATTTTTATTTTTAGTTGTGTATCTGTGTGCTTGTTAGTTAGTGCCCGTGAATGTGGGACCTTCCAGAAACCAAAGAAGGGTGTCAGGGCCCCAGAGCTGGAGTTACTGGTAGTGTTGAGCCTCCTATTATAAGTGCTGGAAACTAAACTTAGCTGAGGCATCTCTCCAGACCCAAGACACAGAAGTCTGTAAGGTGTTACTACACATTGCTTTCATCATTTACAGCTACAGTGCTATCAGCAGTGCATATAACTATCGCCCTCGTGACACTCTGATAATTAAGACTTGATCTTAATTATACTGATAAGAGAATATGGTATTAAAAATATTTACTTTATCACCTGCAAAGCTGAAAAAGCTTTTGATACTGTTCACCTCTTGAACAGTTTTCTTTTAAACTGGAAATATATTGTTCCTTACAAATCCATCTGCTGAGTCTATTTTTCTAAATAGATTACACATTCTTTTTTTTTTTTCTGTTTTGTTTTTGAGGCACAGTCTAACCGTGCAGCACTGGCTGGCCTGGAACTCATGGAATTCCACCTGATTCTGCCTCCCAAGAGATTACATAGTTGTTTACATACTAAGACCTTATTTATAATAGCCAGGAGCTGGAAAGAACCCAGATGTCCTTCAACTGAGGAATGGATTCAAAAAATGTGGTATATTTACACAATGGAGTATTACTCAGCTATTAAAAACAATGAATTCGAGAGGTTCCTAGGTAAATGGAAGGAACTAGAAATTATCATCCTGAGTGAAGTAAGCCAATCACAAAAGAACACACATGGTATTCACTCACTGATTATCGGATATTAGCCCAGAACCTTGAAATGCCCAAGATGCAACTCACAGGCCACATGAAGCTCATAAAAAAGGAAGACCAAGTGGGGGTGATTCAGTTCTTCTTAGAAGGAGCAACAAAATACTCAAGGGAGCAAACATGGAGACAAAGTGAGGGACAGAAACTGAAGGAGGGGCCATTTGAAGACCTTTCCACCTGAGTATCCACCCCATATGCAGTCACCAAAGGTAGATGCTGATGTGGAAGTCAGGAAGTACATGCCGATAAGGGCCTGATATGGATGTCTCCTCAGAGGCCTTCAAGAGTCTGACATATTCAGAGGCAGATGCTCACAACTAGCCATTGAACTGATCATGAGGTTCTCAATGGAGGAGTTAGAGTGAGGACTGAAGGAGCTGAAAGGGTTTGTGGCACCATGAGGAGAGCAACAATACCAACCAACCACAGCTCCCAGGGTCCTAACCACCAGCCTGGGAGCACTTATGGAGGGATCCAGGGCTTCAGCTGAATATGTAAGAGTAGAGGGCCCTGC